AGATTAACCAAAGCTTTGCACTTGTTTTTCAGTTATTACGGTCAATATATTAAAGGTATTTATTTGAGAAAGTGCCTATCCTGCCAATCTTTCCCCATGAGCTCTATTTTGAACACACCCTATAATTACTGATATTACCCTGGCAAATTTTCCCCATGAAGTTTTCTCCACTGAGAGCCATGACTGTACTTGTCTGCTTCTCCACATCATAATTACCACCAGGCAATATTTATAGCTATACTATTATTATTTATGATATTTTATGCCCTACAAAAACCTATTTGACATATGCTGAAACTTCAACATCAGAGACAATGGGATTTGAGCCGAGACAGCCCCTTCACTCCGCACAGCTGTTGTGACAGCGCTGGCACTGACACTGGTGGTGCTGCAGTCACAGAGTCCTGGCAGTGGGAGATTTGCAGGACATGGTGGAATTTCAGCTCAACATACCTGAACTTCCCATTGAAATTCCTGTCACAGTTTGCTGTCCCCAGCTGGTGCACGTTTCAGGACTTGTGGTGCTTCAGGCTAGTACTGTGTGTCCTCGATTCTTGCTGAGGCAAGATAACTAAAGGAGTGCTCAATTATTGCAGGTGGACAGTAGAGAACAGCACATTTATGCCTCATGCAAAACAAATAAACAGAACAGAATGAACAACACTTCTTTGCCAATCGTGGTCTAGACTYGAAATTTGGCACTTCAATACTTACAAACAAATGTAAATGTTTCAATCTCACACTTCAAAAAAATTAAATAAATCTGTCTTGAAAGCACCTTCAGTTTTAATTATTTAAGATCAATACTAACCTAAATGCCTCTGCCCCTAACATGCATCTCCTCTCCAGGGCCATAGACCTTTCTTATTCTGAAATCACTGGCTTTCTCCACAAATACTATTAATCAGTTCCCTCAGTATCATATGCATAAGGGCTATAAACTAATGAGCAGATCTAGGTTATGTAGAAAAAGTGTAGAAAGGAAACAAATGTTCGAACGTCACATTTACATTAACTTCTCACAGTTCAAATGGCAATTTATCCACAACATAGTATGAATCATGCAGTAAGAAAAGGGAGGAATCTCCAGTTTCTTTGATTTATTTGTCATATGGTCGACTGATGTCARTATCAGTGGCTTTAAAAAAAAAAGTTTAGACATCCAAAAGAAAGGAGAAGAGAAAGAAGGAAAAGATCTAGCTTTCCATAAAATCCATTTCCTTTAGGATGAGGAGCTCAAACCAAACCAGATCAAAGGCTGAGGACGAGCAGGTTCTTCTGTTCCTTCCGTGCTTGTCTCGTGGTCTGGCGCGAGCTGGGAATCAAGGGTACGGGACAGGTGGATGTGTTTTGTTTCTCTATATATGTATGTATGCAGGTAGCTATTAAAATATATAAACATACATACACATATACACAAACAGAGACAGTCTTCCTAAAAAAAACGCTCTTTGCAGTCCAGAGGCAGCAGAGTCACTGTGAAGGAAGAGCTGGGCAACATATGGCTGTAGAGTCTGCACTGGAAAAGTCACTGGCTAAACACATGCCGGCTGCTAGGTTCCTTTATTTTCATGAGGCGAAATAGGAGCTCTGCATAGAGTACAGCCTGTCAATGGGATTTCCTACTCTAGCCTGCATGGAGTTAACTTCGGAAGAGGCAAGAAAACAGTCGCTCAAGCTAGTTAAAGAGGTATCACTGTCGATATCATGAAAAATGGAGTCGTTCCCTGCAAATGAAACGCAGACGTTAGGCTGGTGGTGCAGCCAGGGGAGGACACGGCACACACGGATGGGCAATGCTGCACATTTGGGAACACTGCCCCTTCTGCAGCCACATCTGAACAGACTCTGCCTCTAAGGCTCTGATCTACACGGACGAGGGCTTGCTGGCAGCAACACCCCCAAACCTGCCAGGATTGAATTGAAATTTCAGTCACAGCACAAAACAGAGTCTTGGCTGACAATGGGAGCCAACAGCACTGGGGAGGAGCACGTCCTCAGCTCCTCCATGGCTCTGGCACTCATGGGGACAGTGGCATTGTCAAGAAAGGTGGGAGCAGATATTGAGTGCCCATGACAGGGAAGCATGGTCTCAGAGTCATATTCATCTATACACTCAGTGAAAGTTCTACCCGTGTGACAGGACCCAGAGAGACCCAGCTTCTATGGCTTCAAGTGACATCAGTTGTAAACATGCTCTCCTTTCAGAAAATTCCACTCTTTTAGGGCTGGTTTGGAACAGCACCRTTTATTAGCCTTAGCAACTAAGATTTCAGCTTACTTCAACACTGGAGGTACAGAAAAAACTCTGGCTCAAGTCCGGGGGGCTCTGCAAGTGTTAGTCTGGTTCCTTCTCTTCACACACGTATTTGAAAGGGCTTTGTGCCATCCCTACACTTCTTCTGGRGTGCAGAACTGCTTCCTAACGAGTTTTACTCAGAAAGCCAAGCAAACCAGCAAATCACAAGCCACCTAATGCTCGAGGGCACTTCGTRTCTCCTCAGATCCTTACAGGACCTCCCAGATTTCCTGTGTGCACCATGGACTTGTCTCATTGACACAAGCAGTGACAGACCCAGAGCAGCTTTCCTGTGCACGTGCACTGCTCCTGGTCAGCAGAAACGAGTCTGAAACRGGCCCAAGGCTGAGAATCACAGTCTGAAAAACCCTCTGACACTCTTTAAATGCCACACTGCATTGGTCCAGAATGGATTATGGGGCGTTTAGTGCTTGGAATGCATTTGATGCGTGGTCAAGCAATCGTGAAAGCAAACCATCATCTTGATTTGGGACAGAGAATAAAACCATGCAGGAGAAATGTCCTGTGGTAACCCATCTTTTAGTAGCTCAAGAGCTGCTCTTTAACAGATCCACGCATCCAATCTGAGTGGTCTTAAAGGGCTGCTTATTCATTTTGTAATGAACAGATTACTTCTCTTTATTGAAGGCACTTTTTCCTCAAAGCTTCTAAGAAAAAAGGAAAAACTTGTGAAGGAGCTAGAATTTGGTACTGTTTATTTTTCAGTGTCTTGGACAGTGGTTTAAAAAAGTGGAGCTTGGTGAGGTGATGTTGCTTCCTTTATCATTTATCAGAATTATACTGTGAAATAGTTTTGAAAGGTTTCCAAAGCTTGAGATAAGCTCTATTCTACCCCATTATGTGTGTAAGAAAATACACACATGAAACTAACTGGTACAAATTCCCTGGTACAAATCCCAGAAAAAACATTCTAAAAGCCATTTGTGGTGCTGCCCCGTGAGGAGTGATCCAGCACACGCCCCACTAGGTCGGATGTGGCAGAATGAGGCAAGCCTTACCATAGGGGTTCATGTGGTCGCCTGGCATTTGTGGAGGGGTGAGACCCTGCTGAAAGGGGTCTGTGCCATAACTGCTTTGCTCCATTGCTACAATCTGCTGCTGCGGTGCTGCAAGTGGTGTGTAGGATGTCATCATCCCTTCCATTCGGTTGGACATGACTTCTGCAAAGCAAAGAGGAGGCACAGTTACTGCTGGGGAACGGGGCAGCATCAGCAGCAAAAATGAGCCCAGCAAATGCACACAGGGGGATCCTGTCTGTGAGAGAAACTTCCCAGATTCTGTCCAAGCATAGAACCCTGAGCAATATGCTGAAAGACTTGTAATTTCTGACTGCACAGTAATTTCTGACTGCACAGTAATTTCTGACTGCACAGTAATTTCGGACTGCACAGTAATTTCTGACTGCACAGTAATTTCTGCAGCTCCTAGGTGCTGGATCCTGTCCTACCAAAGTCTGTATACTGTGTGTGACAGAGCCTCGTTTTTCTCTAACTTCTGCTGCTCCCATTTTTTCTGGCTCTGGGTAAAGGGGAGGATTTGAGGCTGCAAGGTCTTGGGAGCTGCAGATTGTCCAGAGTACGCACAGAGCACAGGGAAAGCSCTGGTGGCTCTGTGAAACAGGGTCCAGCACCTGCAGGGCACAGGAGGGGCTCTCCACGCTGGGCTGGGACAGCAATTCTTATCCCTGAGCATATTCCAGCTGAGCACTGTGTCCCTTCTGCAGAACAGAACAGACTGCAGGATCCACCTGAAGCAAAGCCTCCTGGAGATTTCCTCCAGTGGAAGCACGTCCACATGGCACATTTCTTCTGGAAAGGAGGTAACAGCTTCTGTGTGAGCACCTCTGGCTCTGCTGTCACCAGAATAACCTGGGCTGAGCTGTGTGGCACTCAGACACCCCTCAGAATGCTCCAGGGCTGATTTCACACATCACCCCAGACCTGCACGCACCCCTGGATTGCTCTGCTGAAGCATCCTCTGAGAATGGCCCTTCCAGACAAGKGCAGATTCTTTCTCACTTTGCTTTATCACAAATCCCCTACCTTGTCCCAGTCGCTGTGAGTTCTGCTGCTCCTGCTGCTGCTGGTGCCTTCGTGCTAGCTTTTTCATCTGAAARAAGCAGAACAGAACAACCTCACAGCCCCAAATGGAACAATTTTGTTTCCTTACAAAACCCTCTGCAAACATCAGTTAACACAGACCATTTATACTTATGCAGACATTGSTGTAGGTTCAGTTTCAATTCTAAGCTTAAACATTTTCGTTTCCAGTTCAGATCTACATGCAAAATTTACTCCCAACCAGGTGTTGCTTTGAGCATATGAATTTAATATCTGTGTTCAGAAGTTGYCTTTCTGGTGTGGATGCAGAGAGCAGCACAAGCAGAGCCCTCAGAGCTCGGCCGTGGCATTTCTGCACCGTGAGCTGCATTTGGGAAAAGAGCCCGTGCTGAGGCATCACCTGCATTTGASTTTTGAGAAYGGGAGGAACAGCCTACCTTTGCTCTTTGGTTTTGAAACCAGACCTGGACCACTCGCACACTGAGCCCTGTTTCAGCTGCCAGGGTTTCTCTGACCTGCAGGAGGAAATGCTTAATGATGCAATTGTTCAAAAGTTAAAAAAACCCCAAAGAACCCTAATCGGTTTTGTTAGGAGGAACACTTGTATTTACAACAAAAATTGCATGTGTTGCATTACTTTTAAAATTCATCATATTTTTGCACAGTGTTGTCAAGTTCTGCCCTGATGGCACTACTGGTTCTGTAACTACTCAAAAAACAGTCTGAGCTGAGGAACACTGCACTAAGTCATTTCATGTTTTTTATTTCACCCATAGAAGATTTCTGCCCAGACAAAGTGCTCTGGCTGCACCCCAGGAGAAGTGSCATTGTCCCAGGGAGTGGCAGGGAGAGGACAAGTGCCATTGTCCCAGGGAGTGGCAGGGACTGTCTGGGGCTGTCAGGACTGATTTCAGTCCTCGGGAAGCACCCACCTTTCTACAGGGCTTGGAGGATACTTCAAAGGATGCTTTGAATGCTCGTCTCTGCTGCGTGGTGAGTATTGTCCTTGGTCGTTTAGGTCTTCTCGGGTCCTTGCCATCGTCGCTTCCTTTCCCTTGGGTTACTTGGCCTTTGGTGGGCTTCACATCTCCATCTTCATCATCACTTTTGACTGGTGAAAAACAGGATAATAATTGCACTGTTGCACCAAGAAAACAGGATGTTTGAGAACTGCTCTTCAGTCAAGAGGTTCAGCTACTGTSCCATGGTTATCTGAATCCTAAAGCAGCTGTGGGCAGGAAGAGACTATCTCAGATCTGTGTGCTCTGCCTAAATCAAACGCCACAAAAGCATAACAATGTTTTCAATTTTTAATTGAGGACAAGGGACTGATCAGGGGATGGAAACTCAGAATATGCTTCAGKATTTCCAGGAACTGGGCACAGAGAGAATTTGTGCCCTTCCAGCATCTCCTGGAGWGCTCATCAGCTCCAATCTCAGCACCAGATAAACACCTTTCCCTTCACAGCCCAACTCCAGCTTCCCCTGAAGCATTATCTGATCCTGCTGCCTTCACTGCTGCAGCAGCAAAACAGCACCAGGTAAGGATCACACAAGTGTCTCAAAGCCTGTCTAACTAAATACAGTGCAGATTCCAGTTATTGAACATTGTTCGGAAAATTCTGAAGCTCTAGAGATAATATTAAGGATAATCTTTGTCATCTCATTTTCACTTTCCACAGAAAACAGCAGTAATCCTCCTCTGTGCATTAGAACGTGTCTGTATGTGCAAGTTCTCTTCMTCAGTAAATACGTGCATGTGCTCACCTAGACCAATGAGATGCTTTGTATTTTCTATAACTAAATTCTGAATCCTCATACAGTCTGGTGATATCACATGTGTTGGTATATCGTCCTGGGAAATCTCAAGCACAGTGGCAAAGGTTGAGGGGTAAATACAAATTTTGTTGTGAAAATCAGCTTTCCAACTCAGCGTATTTTATTTCACCAGACTACTGATTTTTCTTCTAGGAAACATCACATTATTATAGGGACTTCAACATGAAGAAACACACAGAAATTTTTATATACTGGAAGACTACATTTGGGGAATCAACAAATCAGACTTTAATTCATTTTAGGGCCTGATTATTATGCACCTAGCAGTTTAATCACCTTTTGCTTTAATAAGCATCTTTGGCCTAATGATTAAAGAGAAGTTCAGCCATTTTAATAACCACGACATTATTAACTTTCCAGCATGCCATTTCTAAGGAAAGGTTTGTGAGGATTAATACTGCACATTGGAGAGTTACTTTTGAGTGCAGTGGATAAATATTTGATTGAAGCAGGACACATTCTCAGCCAGGGCTCTGCAGACTGTGTGCTCTCACGCAGTCCTCTGGGAGATCAGCGTTTTCAGTGTGTTAGACAATGGGAAACAAACAACTTGTTTAATTTGTCAGCTTGTTTTTCAGGTTTGGGTTTGGCTAACAGAGAATAATGAGGGAAAAAAGCGCATCTCCAGGAGTAAGAAACTCGCCTTTGTGCCAAAGGGAAATGAAATTGAAACTAAGGCTGGTTTGTGCTACTGTGGCAGCTCCTCACTGCTGATCACAAGCCAGATCTGGTTCCAAAAAGTTCTTCAGTACTTCTATGTTATACTTGTAATCTTTCTTCAAGGCACTATTTGTGCTTGGCAGAGAGATTCCTCTCAAAAATTGKATTATTGCTGTGCCCATTTCCCTASTTARTGCTGGAATAGTACATGTGGAAGATCCCCTGAAAAATACATAAAGTGGATGGAAAAATGCCTTTGGAGAACAGTGCACTGCTGCCTCACTTGAGGGAGACCTTGGGTAGCTGAAGTCAGTCTGATTCAYGTTTTATGATCTTATAGGAAAACCCTTTGCAGAAAACAAAAAAGATTTTGTCTTTTACTAAGCAGGAAGGTGAGGAAGGCAGTCAGGTTAGGGGAAGCAGACTGTGAGTAGGAATGTTTTCAGCTGTCCCTGCACATTTGCACAGGTGGCACATCATATAGATAAAGCAGATGTGAAAATCCATGTACTTTTCTATAAAAAGGCTCTACAAACTCCTGCAGCTTTTCCCRTCAGAGCAGGGATGGGAAAAGCTTACCYGAGTCGGAGTCATCTGGGCTGACGGAGCTCAACAAGTCTTTCTCCTTCTCATAGTCGCTTTTGCAGAGCAGCTGTCCCTCCTTGAGGACAAACTCRTCTCCCTTCCTGAGCTGGCGCTCGCAGACGCAGCAGCAGAAGCAGCTCAGGTGGTACACGCACTCCAGGGCACGCATCACAAACTCGGTGGGAGCGATCTTCTCCATGCAGCCGCTGCACTTGGCAGCAAACAGCCTGTGGGGAGAGAGTGTCACATCAAATCCTGCACGGACCCAAATCCAGCAAACCCTGCAAACATCAGCCTGTGGGGAGAGAAGAGTCACATCAAACCCTGCATGGACCCAAATCCAGCAAACCCTGCAAACACCAGCCTGGCTCGTGCTTCTGCACGCTGCAAGACTCGCAACCTTAGGCTTGGAAACAAGCAGGCAATTCTTTCAAATCTCAATCCCTTTGGTCTCGAGATTCCCCAAATCACCTTTGCCAGACAAAGCCCACTAAGATCTGTCCTTATCTCTGTGGTTTTTTTCCTTTTCAAAATGAGAAACAGAAGGGAACTCTCAAAGTTGGATAATCGCTCAAACCCAGATGTATTTGAATTCACCTTTCAGAGGAAGGACCAGCTCCTGCTTTGTTTTATGCAGGGTCTCTGGTTTCAGCACTTAAGCCCTATTCTGAACAGATTTCACGACTTTCCATTTTTGGTATTGTCTGAGGAGGCTGATAAACACAGAAATGAGCATGAAAAGTCTGTGCTTTTGCTGAGGCAAAGTCAACACACGTACATACACACACAATTACACACRTGTAATCCATAAAGAGAGGAGTGAAATAACAGCTTTTCTTTGGATGCTGAGTTATTCCAGAACAACCTGTCTCTGAAGGAAGCACTGTGCATTTCAAATGGTGTGAAACATCCTTCAGCAGAGATAGGCAGTGATACAATCTGCAAAATTACCAGTGTAATCACAGACCCCAGAACACACACTGCATCCAGACYAGTTCTTCTTAATGCTCTAAAAAGCCTGTCTTTAATCCATCATTAATTTTCAAGTTTTAAGTTAGAATTATTTAGATTGATTTTATTTTGCTTTTCTAATGGCAACTGGGAATCTCCCTAAGTGAGATTTCTGAAACGGGCTGCCTCAAATAAAGACAAATCGCTACGTTACATCCCTGTGTCACCTGGTGTGCTGGTGATTTGAAATTCAGTGTCTTTTATGGCAATACATCACAGCGCAAGGTGCATGAACATTTACATTTCAGCAMGGAAACGAGCGCCACTGCACCTGTGTATTCACAGGAAAAAGAATTAGATTCTGCTTTTTAGCTTGGGGTGTGCTGACTTTTTTTTTATCATCATAAAAATTATAATTTTTCTCTAAAAGGGCAATTCTCCTTGATCTTAGAAGGCAAAGGCTGTGGTAGTTATTCATTCCTCCAGAGCCTCCATTTTGTCTGAGCTGAGAAGTGCAGGGAAATGGCAGGCACGAACCTCAGCAAAGAGCTGGAGCCCAAGTGGGCAGGAGGGAAAAGCAAATATCGATATGGTTCCAAAAAGCGGCTG